CCAGAGGCTCCCAGCTGAGAGATGGGCCACGACTGGCACTGGGAGCCTCTGGTCCCGTGCAAAAGCCGGGCTGGGGGTGGGGGGTGGCTGGGAGTCCTGGCCCCCGCCCCACCCCACCCCACCCAGCTTTTGCGCGCGACCACAGGGCTCCCAAAGCCAATTGCGCTCCGCCTCCCAGTCGCTCCCTTGCCCCCGCCAGGCTTCCCTCCGGTGCTCCGCCGGAAATTCACAAAATACCGGACATTGCACATGTCTGGTGTTTTCTGAATTTTTCTACCAGACAGACGGTGCAAATACCAGACTGTCCAGTAGAAAACCGGACACCTGGCAACCCTAATTCCACCCGGCTGCAGAATAGAGTTCTACGTAGCACTTCTGGGGCTCTCTACACCCACCAAACCCTTTCCAAACAGTACTCAGTCTGCCCTCACCGTTGGGAGGCAGGTAAATATCATTCCCATTTATCCGGGGGGGGGACAGACCCCTGTGATCTTCCAAAGCCACAAAGCACGTCAGTCACAAGCTGGGGCTGGGATTCTAGGACATGAGTCCAGCCCACTTAAGCCTGTCAGGAGCTAAAGTATCAGTAGCCTTGTTCTCTCTCATCTTGTTCAGCTACTAAAGTGTCCCGTGTCCTCTCCCAGAAATCCTGCTGCTGCTGTTGACTGGACGGCACATTTAAAATGAAAGACCTAATAAGAAGCAGCAGCCTGCATGCAGGTGCCCGCTAAGCTACAAGGTAGCACGGCCCCACAGCTGCTTAATGAGCCCTGCCCAGCCAGGGGCTCAGGGTCCTGCACACGCAGCTGCCTGGCTCCGTCTCTCCCAGCTCCTAGGGACACATCCCCTCCCCCAGCCAGCCTGCTCCATGCACAGCAACCCTGAGCCCCTGGGCAGGGCTCATTAAGCAGCGGCGGAGTTGTGCTACCATGCAGCTTAGAGGGAACTTTAGCCTGCATGTGCTGTCCTAGATTCCAGTGCTAAGGGCTTGTAAGCAGGGCATGCCGCAAGCATATTATTTTATTAGTAGGCATGTTACATGGTTAACCATCCCTTGCGAATGAATTTGGGCAGCAGCCACCTGCACCGAGCTGGAGTCTTGGCCACGAAGGGGCCGGCGGGCCAAGCAGTGGGACCTCACAGCCATGGCAGAACCCCATGGTCACAGCTGCAATGGGGTGGGGCAGCAGGAGCAGAGCCAAAACGAGGTGCTCCTGTGTAACTAGGTGGCCGTTTTAATGTCCCTATTGAGTAATGTGTGGGAAAGAGAACAGGGAAATAAGAAGACACTATTATACAAGTGAGGGTAGATACATTAATAGATCATACAGAACAAGCCAGAACATCTTCAGAGCCATTCGTCATTCCATATGCTCCTTCTTATTGTTCCCAATGTGCACATGCTGATGCCAGGACAATGTTGGCAGATTGTGGTTCAGGCAACACACATGCATATGATCAAAGCCTAGTGTTTGAATCCCTTATACCTGGAGCAAGGAAAAATGTGTTTTCACAAGACTAACAGGGATGTCTCCAAACTAAGGAGTATCTCCCTGCTAAATTTCAAGCTTTTCCCAATGAGGTATTAGAAATGTTTAAGAAAGACGCGTCAAAAATGTTTTAGTAGAAATGTATGTGTTTGCTCCCTTTGTATTCCAAAAGGCAGAGCTGTTGCTGTTCAAATTTTAAAATGTGAGCCCGTACCTGGCAAACCTTTCCTTCTGCAGAGAGTTACAAACAACTGCAATAAAGCCCGTTAGAATGGGACTGCTCAGCCAACTTGAACGATAACTGTTACTATGCATTCCAGTTATGATGATTGTGCACGCAAAGAATAAGTACTTGGTCTTTGGAACTCATTCCCACATGATTTTTGTGAGAGTAAGAGCTTACAAGGATAAAGGAGGGACTGAATGAATATAAAGATGCAGAATTCTAAAAATAAATGCTAATATCTCTAGATAACCCTCATGCTTCTGATCCTAAGACAACCTCTTTCTGTTAGGGGTCTGGAAGAGTTTTCCCTGCAGGATAGCTTGTCCCATAACTGCCTACTGCAGGGTTCCTTGAGTTGTCTTCTGAAGTATCTAGTGCTAGTCACTCTTGCTGGCAGGATACTGGGTTAGATGAACCCTCCTGATCTGTGGCTATTCTTATGTTTAGCAACATTTTTATATATAATATAAATATGTAATGTGAGTAGTGTCCACTTTTCTGAACTGTGGACCCCACTTCACCGCCACAAAACATGAAGTAGGAGTTCTTGCTTCTGTCCTGCTATGGGAAAAATTTGGCCCTGGTGGTGTGTTAAATCTTCATCCCTTGAGGTGTTTGACAGAGGTGGAATGATTTTGTTGGGGGTTAGTCCTGCTTTAGGCAGGGGAACTGGACTCAATGACCTCTTGAGGTCTCTTCCAGCCCTGGTATTCTATTAAATGAATAGATGTGTGACACCTTCTAAGTTTGGCCAGTAGAGGTCAGCATAACACCCTACAACTAAGCATGCTACACTAGTTGTTCGTTTTCCGGCAAGGGGGTGTCAATCTATGTCAGACTCTTTTCTAAGTACCAGTACACTCTGACTACTTTATTATTGACCTCTGGGTTGTTAGTTTTCAAATGATACTTCACAAGGCGTATTTGGTACCAAAATCACTGCAGTAGTGTGTAGGGTGTAAATACGAGGGGGAGGGGTGCCTGAGGTCACAGTGTTCCTTCAAGCTTTGTGCTTGGGCAGCCACCCAGAAGAGATTCAAATGCCACCCATTTAATTAGCAGAGCGCCCACAGCTGGCAGCAGGTGTTTCTATTGGTGGGGCAGATCCACACATGCCTAGCTGCACAAAACAAAATTTATTCCACACATGGATGGAAAAAAATTAGACCCATTGGTCACAGTGACTGCATATTAGCAATGGATGGATGGCCAACCTGAAAGGAGTGGGCAAGTTGCGTCCCACGTCCTAGTGGATAAGTGCCCAGGTCGCTGAGGCACCTGAATAAGTGGTGTGTTTGGCAGTCCAGGTGGAAAAACTGAGCGAGTCTGGACAGCAAGGTCCAGATCCTGAGTTGTGGCTCAGCTCTGTGTGATGCATATTCAGACGGCAGGTCTGAGCCCGCTTTTTTGGCTCATCTGGCATGGTGGCCATCTTGGGATACATCCCAAAATTGGTGTAACAAGTTACCCAGTAAGCATTCGCCTTAGCAGCCTGCTTACTGAGGTAACCGGTTAACCAGCGTTTGGCCCAGTCTGCGCAGCCGGCGGTGCAGTGTGGTGAGCTGGTTAACCAATTAAACATTGTTTACCTGGTTAACATTTTAAATGGGATTTTACAGCCCTCCACCAATCCCGATCATCAAGCAGAGAAGCCTGGAAACAGAAATCTGAAATCACTCTGATCAACTTTGTCTCGTCTTGACAAAGCCCTGGCTGGGTTGATTGAGTTGGGATTGGGCCTGCCTAGAGCAGGGGGCTGGACTGGACGACCTCCTGAGGTCTCTTCCAGCTCTATGGCTCTATGAGTCTATGAACTTTGTGCCAACTGCCCCAGCGTGTGCTGACCCTGCTCCCCTTCCTCCAGCCACAGCCCTTGGTCCTGCTCCAGAGACCCGGGCTGCTAGGATGAGAATGACCTACATGTCACTACGTTCTGATCCACAGGCAGGGCTGATCCTCCACTGTTCAGCTACGCTGGCTTTGCCCTATTGCAAGGAATGATCCAAACCGGATTTTCCTTCCGCTCCTGGTTGAGGCCCAGTGGGTGGGACTGCAGGCCGGGCTGTGTTAATGTGGCAA